CAGTACCGGGCAGTGGGGATACAGAAAATTTCCATCATCACCGATAGTTCTAATTACAAATGGACCTCAGAAAACCTCACTTACGTCTTAGTTCCCACGATCCTCGTGCTCCTCTGCTGCTTAAAGGATGTGGGTCCCGAAGTCTATCAAACGCAAGCACATGAGTGAATGCCGGGGATCTCTGGACCTTGACCACGAAAAGACAGTTCCCCCGAGCCCAGAAGACACGCAGCTCTCCCGGGGCAGCTACCTCAAACCGAAGGAGGCAGGGCTTTTTTTTAGGAAAAGTGTGCCGTCCTATCTTCCTAGGACAGGTGACAACACCAGAGCCTTCATCTTCCCCATTCTGAAAACCCTGTCTGGATAGAGGCTCTAAAGGGAGGAGAAAAGAGAGGACAATGGATATGGGAGGCATTGGATTCTGTAAAAAGAACAGAAACGAATGGCAATGTGGCGACGCGCTGACTCCAAGGTGGGGAGGCACCGGCAGCGGAGGAGTGGGGAGAAAGAGGGGCACAGGTAGCTCTGACCTAGCGGGGTGGGGCCTGCGAGGGGCTCGGAGAAAACCAACGGTGAGCTCGGGACAAAAGCGAGGCCCGCGTGCCGCGGGTCTCCACAGCGCTCCCGCGGAAAGCGTAACGGCCAAACCGGGAAACTCACGGCGGGTCCTGCACCGAGCCTGGAAGACATCACTCCCTCTCGCGCCTAACAAATTCACCCCGGGGCTCCAGCCAGACCAACGCCACTTCTGCTCGCCGCGCCTCTCCCGGATGTGGAGCCTGCGCAGTCGGCGCCGCGCGACTCCGGCCCGCACGCCCACTTCCGCCGGGCGGCTTCCGAGGGGGCTTCTGCCGCCGCCGCCGCGAGTCACGTGACGAGCCGCTCGCCAATGCCTCGGAGACCCCGCCCCAGGGCTGCGTGGTGGAACCCAGGGGAGCAGTGGAGCCGTACCCTGGCCTTAGGACCCCCTCCCTCTCCGTCATCTCCACCCTCCATTCCCAGCACGACGAGTGGTCTTTCTAGATGCACAGGAGGTTAATGATTGCCCCTTTATTTATCGGAAATTGCAGACCCATTCCCGCCGTCCCAGCCCCCAGGTAGAGAGGCATAGGCTCGTTCATTGCTGAGGATGCAAGGATTGGGGTCAGTTGGCTGAGCAGGAAAGAAGCCCGGAAAGGCGAGCTTGGTGAAGACTTGAGGGAATAAATGAATAATGGGGGCGGACATCTCATCTGCTTCCTTCAGGGCTCCAAACTTGCCCTGCTTGGGGGGGCTTTTTTGTGTGTGATCCCTAGAAGATATTTGAGTCTCTCATGAAATCTTTAGAAAAAGTATGTCTGGGCCTCTCCCAACGTGAGCTGTGTCTGAGTCTCTCCTTGGGGCGACTGTGAGTTCTCTCCGAGGGCCTCCCCTGGGTTTTCTCAGATGGACTGTGTCTGCCCCTCTCGGCATGACTATGTCCTCTCCTCTCAAAGGGGCTGTGGTTTCTCCTCGCAGAGAGTCTGCGGCATCTCCGCTCGGAGGGACTGCGGCATTTCCGCTCAAAGGAGCTCGGATGGCTCATCTGAAAAGAACTTTGATGGCTCCTCCGAGGTGGACTGTGATGTCTCCTCCCAGAGGGACTGCGATGTCTCTTCCCAGAGGGACTGGGATGGCTCCTCCGAGGTGGACTGAGATGTCTCCTCCCAGAGGGACTGCGATGGCTCCTCCCAGAGGGACTGTGATGGCTCCTCCGAGGTGGACTGAGATGGCTCCTCCCAGAGGGACTGTGATGTCTCCTCCCAGAGGGACTGGGATGGCTCCTCCGAGAGGGACTGTGATGTCTCCTCCGAGGTGGACTGTGATGGCTCCTCCGAGGTGGACTGAGATGGCTCCTCCGAGACAGACTGCGATGTCTCCTCCCAGAGGGACTGCGATGGCTTCTCCCAGAGGGATTGCGATGTCTCCTCGGAGAGGGACTGCTATGGCTCCTGTCAGAGAAATTACATGGGGCTCTTTCCCTATGGAAGCTGTGGTGGTTTGGTTTCCTAGGCATGAGTATCTCTTTAAAGTGACTGTAGGAGGTTCTCTTCTTAGGGGTTCCATGTAGGAGTCTCCCTTGGGCCTGAACTCGGATTCCTCTTTTGGAGTCCTGGGACTCTGGGCTAGAGATTTCTTTTCTATACCAGTTTTCCTTAGCCCTGCTGCCACTCTCATTCTGAACTGTACCCAAAGGGTGTCTGATTGTGGTGATACTTCTTTGGGAAACTCCGCACCTGGGCAGTGGGGAAGGGGTGGATTGGAAAGAGCTATCTGTTTTTGGTGGTTGTGCTGAGCAGAACTGTTCTAATTCTTCCCAGGGCATGCTCTCCTGTTCAGTAGTTGGGTCTGTTGGCTTTAGCTTGACAACTGGCATCCTGTCTCTTTCGCTATCTCCTTGTGAACTATCGTCAGAGGCTTTTTGTTCTGGTTGGCAGTTTTCGCTCGACCACAAATGGTCCGCCCTTGTCCTGTCCTCAGGCTTTGGCCCAACAAATGCCATAATTCTTCGTGCGGTTTGGAATGCCTTTCTTAGTCCCTGAAAAAGCAGTTTAATGAATTTGGGTTGGGAGAATTTCTTGGGGTGCCTTTTTAAAGAGGCAGTAGCTGCCTGAGATGCTCCATTCCTTTTCCCTTTCAACTGGGATGGTAATTTCCTAGAGAGACTCTGCATTATGGTTCTACTGTTTGTGTAGGACTTTTTGTTTTGTGTTCTAAATCTCTTGTTGATTCTTTCCATTGGATTTTTTGAATCATGGATATTTTTGCTTCTCACTTTAGTCCACTCTTCATCCTGATTGCTTTCAGAGTCACTCTCTGATAACGAGTGAACTTCAGTGAATTCATAGTGCCCAGGCTCTCTAATATCTGTCTGTCCTTCTAAGTCAGGGCTAATGTGGACTTGTACAGAAGCAGGAGACTGGGAAGACTGAGACAGGAAATCTATGGTAGAAGCAGGACTCTTGGAAGCTTGATTACAGATTTTAGCTGCTGATCTAGGGCTCCTAGGTGTCAAGGGTCTGTCTCTTCTATAATACTTTGGAACTTGGGATCTTTTCCCAATTCGTAACCTAAAGCCAAGACGCAATCTAATCTCTCCATGGCCTTCAGGAGTGCTTACAAGGTGGAGCTGTGGATAGATAAGAAGATAAGGTCCAAAAGTAGTCTGTAATTTATGACAATTAAATCCTGAACATCGGCCACACTGTAGGCAGATAGGGTATTTTAGGACCAGACCTGAAGTGAGAGGTGGAGGTACATTGTGAGGTATTTGACTCCTTAACAGTTTTGCTGCTATTTTTAGCTGCAGATCTTTTAGCAATTGGAACTGTTCTGAGAGGTCATCCTGGGCCTGGGAAAGAAAACTCGGCTCCAGTGGGTGCTGGGACTCAAAAATCCTTGTCTGTGAATCTCTCTGTGAGTTCTCACTCTCTTCCACTGGAACAGGATCTTTCACAGTGAAAAATATATTGAAGGAGGATTCTGACTCTACTGGGTCAGGAAGCTGACCCTCTGTATATGAAACAGGACTGTGCTGAATGACTTCCTGGGGTATATCATTGAGCTTTGAGTTTGTTTTCTTTATTCTCACTCTAGTGCCAGAGTATTGCTGTATTATGGAGGACATAGAACCACGTGTCCATACCCTTAAGGCCATTCTTTTCTCATGACCATGGCATGAAGTATGTCTCTGAATGTAGTTTTTGACCATTGAAGCCTGAAAAATAGTGCCTCGACCTGTCTCTAGCACACTCTGGGAAAATTCCATCAATTCAGCAGGAACCCCAAATAAATTCTGAATAGACTGACAGGTATCAGCAGTAGACCTTTCTGTTAAAGATGTTTGAGAACAAAGCTTCCTTCCCATAGTGGTTCCCAAGACATTCCCCAACATTAGCATATTGGAGAGGTACTTTCTAGGTAGTCTCTGCTTCCAGGAGTGACTCTCCCAGACATTCTGTTGTCTTCCCAGGACAGACCAGGTTAATCCTCTTCGAGCCCCTGATCCTGCCTGGAAGGTCTTAGATGGTGATCTCCAGCTTTGTGGTGGATGTTGGGAGAGGCCCTGGAGTGAGTTCTCTACCTCTGCTACCTGCCTCGGTTGAATCCTTTCCTGAAATACGTTATACACCCATGGGATCTCAGAATGGGAGGTTTCTACAGTGTTAGTTGTCTTCTCAGAGAGTTGGTTATGAAAGAAAAAGGGGAAAGTTGAAGCAGGATCTATAAAGGACTCTTTAGGCTGCAAAATATCTGTCCAAAGGTTTTTTATATCCAACGCTCTTGATACTTCTGTCATCTCAGAATCCCAAAGACCTAATTCAGATGTTGTTTTGGCAGAACTTGAGATGACTGAGTTTGAAGAGTTGTGTAGAAGCCTAGAGAAATAATTCCTTATTTGTAACTCTTCTCCTGATGTTAACCCCTCAGATTCCCCCTTCTGATATACCTGTCTTAAATTCAAATCCTCAGATTCTATAACTTGAGGAGGCCTTATTTTTATCCCCATAGATTTCACAGCCTGATGCCCTCGTTCATGAGTCAACACTGTAGGATCCTCAAATGGAGATGTTGGTTGTGAGGTTAATTCTGCAGATTTCACTTCAGTATTTGACTGTGGATTTAACTCCACAGATTTCACTTTTTGAAAACATGATTCTAGGGCAAACACCTCACATTTTAAGTCCTGCATCTCAGAGCCTGAAATCAAGTTCACAGAATTTGCACCACAAAGCAATGGCTCTTTGTTCATCTTCACAGACTTTGTATCTTCAAACAGTGGCTCTGATTCATGTAACACAGATTTTGTACCATTTAACTGAGGATCCAAAACAGAGTGTCCAGCTTGTTGCTGTGACCCAAGGTGGTTCTGCAAAACTTGGCCTTCTGGAAACTTTATCCCTGGAGTTAATTTAGAAGATTTTACACCTTGCAAATGTGATCCAGGATTAAATAAAATAGACTTTGTGCCTTGAGATTCTGGCCCAGGGTTCAATTCAGAAGACTTCATGCCTTGTATCCGTGGCCCTGGATTAAACTTTATAGAGTTCATGCATTGAAGTTCTGACCCTGATTTCAATTCAGAAGAATTCACACCTTGCAGCTTTGGGCCAGAGTTGAACTCTGTTGTCATTATATCTGAAGTCAATTCAAAAGATTTTACACCTTGCAAGGGTGGCCCACAGTTACATCTAGTAGAATTTACACATTGTAATTTTGTCCCTGTATTCAACTCACAAGAATTTTCACACTGCATCTGTAGCCTAGGGTTGCATTCCAAAGGTGCTATGTCTAGGAACTTTGACCCAGTAATCAATTTAGATTTCAAACCTTGCCAATGTGGTCCAGGGTTGAACACCATAGATGTCTCACTTTGAATCTCTGGATTCAATTCAGAAGACTTCATACCTTGATGTTTTGAAACTGAAGTTAATTCAGAAGAGTTCACACCCTGCAAATATGGCTCAGGGTTGGACACCATAAATTTGACACTTTGAAGCTCTGGCCATGAATTTAACTTAGAAGATTTCTCATCTTGCCACTGCTTTCCAGCATTGAACTCAGGAGATATCACACTGTGAACCTCTGATTCCAAGGCCAACTCAGAGGGTTTTGCAACCTGAAATTTTGGGCCATCATTGACATCTGTAGAGTTCATTATTTGAAGGTTTATCGACTCAGAGGATTCTGTACCTTGCAACTTTGCTCCAGAGTTGAATTCCATAGATTTCATACCTTGAAGGTGTGTGCCTCGTGTCAACATAGACAATATCCTATTGTGTGGGGCTGAGTTGAACCCCAAAGATTTAACATCTTGTACTTTTGTACCTGGAGTCGATTTAGAAGATTTCATATCTTGCCACATTGGTCTAGTGATGAACTCCACATATTTTTCACTTTGAAGCTTTGTCTCTGGTGTTAACTCAGATGTCACAACTTGTGACTGTGGAACAAGTTTTAACTCAACAGATTTCAAATCTTGAAGCCTCCACTCTAGTGTCAAATCAGATTTCTCACCTTGTCCCTGTGGTCCGCGGTTGAACTTCACAGGTTTCACCCCTTGAAGCTTCTTCCTCTGGGTTAAATCAGAAGAGTTTCCACCCTGTAACTTTGGACCATGTTTGAGCCTTATGGTGTTCACATCTAGAAGCTTTGTCCCTTGAATTGACTCAGATTTTTTACTTTGTATCTGTGATTCAGAGTTAAAAAAAGATTTCATTTCTTGAGGCTTTGTCCCTGGGATCACTTCAGAAGATTTTGTACCTTGAAAATGTGGTCTAGAATTGGACCCCAAAGATTTCATATCTTGAAGCTTTATACCCATGACCAAGTCGGAACATTTTATATGTTGTAACTGCGGATCTGAGTCCAACTCTACAAATTTTGTACCTGGAAATTTACCCCCCAGGGCCAAGTCAGATTTCTCACCTTGTAACTTTGGACTAGGTTTCAATTCTACAGATTTCATATCTTGAAGCTTTTTTTTTTTTACCACTTCAGAAGATTTCATACTCCCCAAGTGTAGTCCAGACCTTAAATTCATACATTTTACATCTTTAAGTTTTATATCCATGAGCAACCTAGAAGAGTCTATATCCTGCAACTGTGGGCCTGTGAATTCTCCTGATAGGGCTTTTTCAAGCTTTGTCCCCAGTATTTGCTTAGATTTCACAACTTGCATCTGGGGGCCAGGGATTAATTTTTTATGTTTTACATCCTGAAGATTTGTCTTTGAGATCCCTTGAGAAGATTTCATACCTTGTAACAATGACCCAGGTTTGAAATCTGTAGATTTGACACCTTGAATCTTTGTCCCTATAGTTGATTTAGAAAAAGTTGTACCTTGCAACTGTGAGTTAGGATTTAACTCTGTAGATTTCATATCTTGGGACTTTATCTTAGGTGGAAACTTAGAAAATTTTAGACTTTGCCACTGTGACCCAGTGTTGAAATCCTCAGATTTCACACATTGAAGCTTTGTTTGAAGAGCCAACTCAGATGACTTTACACTTTTCAAGTATAGTGGAGAGGTGGACTCTATAGTTTTATCACTTTGTGACCCTTGGTTTAATACCCTAGATTTCACCTCCAGAAGCTGTGGTTCAAGACACTTTACACCTTGAAGCTGTGTTCCTGGGGATGACCATAATGGTTTCACTTCCTGAAGCTGTAAACAAGGTTTCAAATCAGAACCCTGAGGCTGATGTTCCTGGCATGATGCCAAAGATTGTATACCTTGAAGCTCTGGTTTTGAAGTCAATGTAGATGATGACTTCCTATCCCTTGACTGTATCAAAGTTTTCCACTCTACTGGTTTGACACATTGAGATTGTAACTCAAGATTTACCAGAGATTTTATACCTTTAAACTCTAGTGCAGGTATCCACTCAACAGATTTTGTACTTCTAAGCTGTGGTTCTTGGTTTAGCTCTACACTTTTCATACCTTGATGCTGTGGCTCTGATGATGATGCCAGAAATTTCCATTTTTGCAGTTGTGATCCTGGGGGCAACTCAAGGGTTTTCACATTCTGCAAATGTGGCTCACAGTTGCACTTCATATACATTGCACCTTGAGTTTTTGGCCCTGGAGTCAATTCAGATGATTTCGCATCTCTTGACCGTATAAAAGATTTCAACTCTACAGATTTGACTTTTTGAGGTTGAGACCCAAGATTTAACCCTATAGATTTCACATTTTGGAACTCAGGTCCTGGTATCCATTGAATACATCTCATACATCCAGGCTGTGACTCCTGTTTTAAATCAACAGTTTTCACCCCTTGAAGCTGTGGTTCTGAAGTTAACACCAAAGGTTTCACTTGGTGCAACTGTGGTTCAAGTTTAAACTCTTTAGATTTTACATCTTGAATACTTGATTCTGGGGTCAATTCAAATGATTTCATTTCTTTCGACTGTAACTCAAAGTTGAGGTCTACTAATTTTCCATCTTTAAAGTTTAGCTCTGGATTTAACTCCAAAGACACCCCATCTTCTGACTTAGACCCTCTCTTAAATTGCTCTGAATTCACACATTGCTTCTCTGGTGATACTACAGATATCTCACCATTCTGTTCTGTCTCAGTACTTACATTCACATTTGATACCCCTTGAAACTGTTGCGTTGGTGCTGAATCCACAGATTTTACTCTTTGAAACTTTCGTATTCTGGTTATATCTACCTGCCTCTTTAGACTTCGGGTCAACTTCACAGATTTTATACTTTGCAGTGGATCTGGAGTCTCCTCTAATGATTTTAAATTTTGAAGTTTTAAACATGGGGTAATTTCCAAAAATTTCATGTATTGCATTTGTGGCTCTGACGTCAATTCCTCAGGTTTTATACCCTGCCATTTAAGCCCTTGGAGCAATGGCCCTGGTACAAAAGGCACAGAATTCTCACCTTGCAACTGAACAGATTTTATACCTTGAAGCTTGGAATCTGGGGTGGTTTTTACAGATTTGATATCTATCTGTGGGCTTAAGGTTGTTTCCACAGATTTCTCACCTTCCAGCTGTGGACTTGGGCATCTCAGGCATTCTCCTGGAGGTAAGGCCACAGATTTCACATCTTCCAGCTCTGACTCTGAAATCAACAACTCAGACTTTAAACCTTGAAGTTCTGAACCTGGAGTCAGCTCCACTTGTTGCACACCTCCCACCTGTGGCCCAGGGGTTAGCACCATAGATTTGACATCTCCCGATTGTGGATTTGGTGTTAACTGCATAGATTTCGTATCTTCCAGCTGTGGCTCTTGGATTAGTGCCTCAGATTTTAAACCTTGAAACTTTGAGTTTGGGGTCCACTCCACAGTTGTTACATCTTGCCACTGTGCTACTTGGATAAATTCAGAAGATTCCATACTTTGTAACTGTGGTCCTCTGGTCAACTCAGAGAAGTTTAGACTTGGCAACTGATGCCCAGGAGTTAACTCCATAGATTTTGAATCTGCTATCTGTGGCTCTGAGATAAATTTATGAGAAATGTCATTGTCAGAGCTTGGGGTATTTCCTAAAGATGATTGTATCAACCCCACAGATTCTTTGTTGTGGTGACAAATGTCAGAGGTCAACTTTGTTTCTGGTTCTTGATATCCTGGCTCTGAAATCATCCCTAAAGATTCTGAAGCTTGCCATGGGGTCAATACTTCAGGTTCTGTGGCTTGGTGATTTGATTTGGGGATCAACTTTACAGATTTTACTCCTGGAATGTGTATCCCTGGTGTCTGCCCTTTATATATCATACCTTCTACCTGTGTCTCAGGAATCAACCTCCTACATTTTACCACTTGAGGTTCCACATCTTGAAGCAATAGCACTCGGTCTGTCTCATCAGATCTTAGGTCTTGTAAGCATGGCTTTGGGGTCAACTTCACAGATTTCATATCCTCCTGTTGTAGTCCTGGGGTCAACTCCACAGTTTTTATACCTGGCAATCCTGGTGGTAGGATCAAATGAACACATTCCATACCTTGCAACTGTGAACTGGAGGTCAAATCTGTAGATTTCCTACTTTGCCACTGTGGTACTGGGGCTAACTCATCAGATTTTTCACTTTGCTGTTGTGGTCTGAGGGTCAATTGGATAGATTTCTCTCCTTGAAGCTGAGATCCTGGGTATGACTGTACAGATTTCCCACTTTGCAACTGTGGTATAGGGTTCAACTTATCAGCTTTTACACTCTGCTGTTGAACTTCTATGGCCAATTCTATAGAGTTCACAGTTGGAATCAGCTGTTCATATTTTACTATTTGTGGGATTGAACCTGTGGTCATATCTACAAATTTTATATTTTGCAACCCTGGTCCCATGGTCTGCTTCTCAGATTTTACATTTGGCAACTCTGAGGATAGCTTCATAGAATCTATAACTTGAAGTTTTGGCACTGACTTTGCCCCCATATTTTTCACACCTTGAAGCTGTGGTGTAATAGTCATTACTGTGGATTCTGTAACTTTATGTGCTGGTTTTTGACTCATTCCCATAGATTTTGTATCTTGACCCAGTGACTTTGGGATTGTCCCTAAAGATTCCATTATTTGGTGATGTGACTGTGTTAACTCTAAAGATTTCTTCCTTTGTAGCCATATGTCAGAGGTCAATTCTATAGTTTCTATAACTTGATGGCTTTGCCTTTGGCTCATCTCTGGATATTCCAGGATTTGATGCCTTGGGGTCAACCTCAAAGATTCTAAGTCTTGAGTTGACACTGGGGTTAATGTAATAGATTCTGTGCCTTGATGATATGGTTGTGGAGTCATCGCCATGGAGTCTAGCACTTGAATACATGGCCCAGGAGTCAACTCCAGAGATTCCTTGACTTGAGATATTGGCCTTGGGGTCAAATCCTGGGATTCTACAACTTGTGACTGTGGTTCTATGATTATTTCAATGGATGACCCCAACCTTGGGGTTGTCTTCAGAGAATGTATGGATTGAAGTGATGGCATCCCTACTGATTCCATGACTTTAGGTGGTAGGTTGGAAGGTACACTCACATACTCTCTAATTCCATGTGGATCAATAGTAGTAGGAGAACTAGAAAACATCAAATCATCTGGTTGAGTTGCCCTTAGGGTCAAATTTGAAATATGAGTCTGTGAATCTGGGGTACCATCTGGCTGTGCTGGTGGAATTATTCCCATGCAATCCATAGCTTGTAATAGTGCCACAGGAGTTATTTTTATGACATCTATGAATGGATGCAATGGCCTGGGTATCATGTTCAATGATTTTTTGTTTTGACATATTGGTTCTGGAATAATTTTCACTGGTTTTATGGTTTGAGTTTGTGGCTTTGAAGTTATGCCTACTGATTCAATAACTTTATGCTGTGGCCCTGGGGTCATTTCCACCTTTTCCATTACTGTATGCTGTGGCCTTCTACCCATCTTTCTTGGTTGTATGACTTGATGGCCCAACAATGTGTTAATTTTCATTGACTCCTTAACTTGATATTGTAGCCTTGGGGTCATTTCCACTGATTCTGTTATATATGGGAGTGATTTTTTAATTTTCCCCATGGAATCCATGGCTTCAAGCAGTGCTTCAGGAGTTACTTTCACATTATCTGTGACTTGATTCAGTAATCTTGAGGTCATCTTCTTTGATTCTGTAACTTGATGCCGAGGCTTTGGGGTTACCTCTACAGGTTCAATTATATGATATGCTGGTTTTGATCTTACACTCGCTGTTTCTATTGGTTGCACAACTTCATTTGGCTGTGGAAACAAACCTACAGATTCTGTCAATTCTGAATGTGATTCTGGATTCATCCCCATTGAATCCATGACTTGAAGTAATGCCAATGGTGTTACCTTTATGCTATTTGTGACTTGATATGGTAGCTTTGGAGGCAACTCGACATTAGTCACTTGGGTCTCATGCTGCTGTATGCTTTTTTCTCCAAGACCTCTTACCCTCTGCTCTAAATTAAGCTCTAGCACATGTTTTGGGTCCTTCTCCAGTACAGTGGTTTCCTTTTGAATTATGTCAACTCCTAAACCTTTGGGAGGTGGAATGCCCATTGATGTAACTAACAGTTTAGATCCAAGGACTTGGGGGCCACCACCAGGTTGTGACTGCTTACCTGGGATAAGTGATTGTGAAATTTTTGTTTCTGTTCTATTTAATACAGATTCCACTCCAGTGTTCACATGGCGCTGAAATGATGGAAGGTCTGGGGATTTATTGTTGATATTTTGCTCAGTGCTTTGATTAATGGGCATAGATAACTGGATTTGGGGTTTCTCTGGTTCAGGGATGCTTCCATGTACTTCAATTAAATAATTCAACATTGCCCATGATTCCCTCACAGGCAAAGGCACTGTTTGTTTCTGCAAAGTACAAACCTTCCAAGCCATATGTCCCTCTAACTCTCTCCTAGTCAAAGGAGAGAGCTGGGTTGAAGCCCACCCTGAGACTCGAGGTCTCTCTTTGAAAACAGAATTTGGCCAATGATCTGATGTCAAATGATTCTTCCTCCTTCCCTCATACTTTGTTTTCACTTGCTTGCAGAAATCTGAGGATTCAAAAATAGACTTGATTAAAGAGCTTTGAGGTCTTAAAGGTGAAAGAGCTGCCAAATTTGGAAAGATTTTTGATTTCCCAAGCTCTGAGAGCTGAAAAGGAGGCAGGGATGTGCTTTGATTCTTGAACACAGGTGGTTGCTTTTTAGATAAAATAGGTAAACTGTGGCTCCGGGATTGCCAGGTTATTCCTTCAGAAAAGACAGAAGAGTGAGACGAATTGGAGTTGTTGCATGATGATCCAGAGGAGATGCAGGGCATAGTAGAATATGTTGTCATCTTACAGTCACAAAAAGGTAGAATAGGCTCCTGAGTCACACAAACACAGGAGGTGGAGGAAGAAATATCCTGCAGTTCAGGAAAATATGGTCCCATAAGAGCTGATCTAAGGAATAAAGAGAAAAGTTTCATTTTGCTTCAAAACAGGAAAAGGAAAAGTAGAAAGGGGGAAAAATAATGGCCATTTCAAATGCAAAATATTTTGGACTGAGGGAGAATAACAACAACAACAAAAGGTTAATTACTTATGGAAAGAATTCCTCCTCCAGGACCAAGGGAGACATTTGTCCCATTCCAGTCAGAAATGATCAATAGACCAGTGGTTCTTTAAATTCTTTTAAACCCAGAACTTTCCCCTATTTCCAAAATATCCAACTCACTCACTCTCTTTTTCTTCTCCCTCTCTCCTTGTTCATCTTCCTTCCTCTCTCTCTTTCACTCCCTTCCTACCTCCCTCTTAAAAGCTCTACCACCTTCAATCCCCACTCAGAAACTACATTCCCTGACCTTGTTTTTTCCAGATGCTGGGAGATCTGTTGAAGACAGTGTATACATTCCTGGGTCCATCGCTCAGGGAAGCCTGAAAAGCTGGGTGAAAAAGAGTATGTCAGTGTAATGGAAGTGACATAGGAAACCAAAAAGAAGAGAGACTTAACTTAGAAAGGAGACAGAGTGGGAAGGAAAACAGAGTCCCAGGTATCTTACTCTAACTTTTTACAGTTTATCAGTAGAATAGGCTGAAGAGAGGAAAAATAGACACAGTGAAGATGGATTTTACTCACTTGGTCAGATTAGTTTTAATGCAAACCATGCTGAGATTTTCTTCCCACTGTTGAGCTGGGAGTAGAGGTGAAGAATCTATTAATGTAATGACCATTGACATCACCTAGTCCAAACCTCTTATTTTGCAAATAAGGAAGCAAAGATGGAATCATGCCCAAGATCATAAAGCTAATTAGTGGTAAAGCTCAGGTTTAACCTAAGTCTCAAGTTTGTTTTTTAAACTATACTATGCTGCCTTCACTGTGTAGTATAGATGGAAGCCATTGGAAAGCAGGGATAATCATAATAATAGGACTTAGAGTGGAGGAAACAGAGATGATAATACATGTCTTTTCCTCCAAAAGAGTCTATCCAATGTCTATGGGAGAAAAGAAAGGTACAGAAACTTTCCAAACCAAACTCTTGATAATTACCCCTTCTCCGTTCTCCAACCTCACCACGTTTCTTTACTGATACTTTGAGCATTGCACAAAATGAGATGTGGAAAGGAAGCATGGAAAGAACTAAGGAGCCATTTGCATCTCTTTGGAAGTAGAGATGCTAGAAAGAATAAGCACATTACTTCCATTAACATTTCAACCTCCAGCCCTCCACCAGCTATTAAAGGCTAGAGTCAAACAGTTGCCCTGTCATTAGCCTTGAGCTTAAGAATAAAGCATAGGAAAAAAAAAAAAAGAAGAAGAAAGCATAGGGTCTTTCTGACCTGTGAATGGCTGGATCTTTTCCAATCTATGCTGCTTTGAAGTCTAGAGAAGCACAAAAAGAAAGAAAAAAATCAGGTAATATTCTAGGTTAGAGAATTAGACAGTGCATTTTATCTTATAGACACAAATATTGACATAATTGGCATCCATAATCACAGCAACAATTACCACCTCATTCATTTATTCATGAATCATTTATTGAGGACTTACTAAGTTCTTGGTATTGTATGGGGTGCCAGGACTACAAAGATAAATATGATCCCTGTATTTTAGGAATTTACACTAATAAGGAAAACAGATCAGATCTCTAAAGAGATAAATTATAATACTGTGTGGTAAATGCTGAAACAGAAATATAAGTGCTATGGAATACAAAGGACAGTCATTAATTACTTGGGAGAGAAAGGAAGAATTACTCAAGAAGTTGCCATTTATATTAGCATTTGGAGAAAAAGCAGAAGATTTTTAGGTAAAGAAAAAGCATTTCAGGCAAGTGGGAACATCACCGAGATTAAGTCATGATTGTTAAGTGCACTTTTACTAAGTAGTGAGAGATGAAGCTGAAAAGGTAGGAAGAAGCCAGATTATGCCAAGTATAGCATTTTTATTTGGTCAGAATTTCCCAACCAGTAGTTAGTAAACTCCTGGGTTTTTGCAAGGGTGTTCCCCATCATTTTAAAAGCAAAAGTGACATTTGTTACCATTTCAAATCCTAAAACAATTTTTTATTCCTTCCCTTTAAACTAGAACATCAGTCTCTGAGAGTATATTAAAAGAGCTTCCACAACAATTACTGAGGAATTCATGAATGTCCACATTATTCAATCACTCAGTTTATTACTCAGTTGAATACCCCTAGCACGGTGGTAGTTTTAACTTTTAAACAGTTTGGTTTTTAAAAAATATATTTTATTGATTTTTTTACAGAGAGGAAGGGAGAGAGATAGAGTTAGAAACATCCATGAGAGAGAAACATCCATCAGCTGCCTCCCTGGACACCCCCTACTGGGGATGTGCCCACAACTAAGTACATGCCCTTGACCGGAATCGAACCTGGGACTCTTCAGTCCACAGGCCGACGCTCTAGCCACTGAGCCGAACTGATCAGGGCACTTTTAAACAGTTTTAAATTGATTTTATACTTAGTCATATATCATTTATGTCCATAATATGCCCATTGATTAAAAACATCAAACAATAGGAAAACTGATGTTAAAATACAGGCTAATATATTTACAAATGATATTTCTATATATTTATCTCAAAATGACCTCTACATATCACAGACCTAAATAATCCCCCACTACAAAAGCACTTGGAAATGCTGAATAAAATAAACAAATATCCCTT